GTTGATATCAAGCTTTACAGACGTGCTCATTACATGTCTTGAATTCTCTCATATACAGCAAAAATACTGACACATCTGATATGTTAAAACGCTCGGTTAAATTTTGTGACATGGATGTGAAGCAAAATACTGGTTGGGATTGTATTTATATTGTGCAGGCTTCATCGATATATGATTGCCTGCAAATATCCCTAATCATCTGAATAACAAGTTACCCGTAACACAAAATGCTTAAATTACATTACACTACCCAAGTCGTTATGCGAAAAAAAGGTGCTCTTTTCAAGTGTCAATGTTTTAACACGACGTGCTGATTGAGAACACTGTTTTAAGTCGTCTGTTCCCCTGCTGAAGGCTAGATTCTTACCTAGGGGGCAAGCACTCCATCATGTATACCTACTAAAGGGGTCTTATGTTCTCAGCTTTTGTTTCAGATCTTATCTAATACAGTTCCAAAAAAAGAATGCACTTTTTCCACCAAACAATTTCTCTAACAGAATTTTTATCCTTAGATGAATTGATCAGTTGTCAAAATGAGCTCTAATTAAGATGTAAAAATTCTGTTCTCTCCTATGCTTAGGCTGTATATCCAGCTTAGGAAATGTCTGCTGAAAATCGACTGGATTACATCAGATATATCAAAGCATGTGTCTGAGTCAACTTTAAAGAGCTTTTAAAGAGCTTTTTTTTTTAACTGTTTAAGTCGCGGCATGATTCTTATATTGTTACTGGAGTACCATAAGAGCAAACAAGGAATGTTGTCATGCCCTTTTAAAAAACCCTCATGACAATAATAAGACAATACGGTTTTTATTTTACATTCAGGCATATTCTGCTAGTTCTCTGTTTATCAATAACAAATTTCTACTGAGCCGAAAGATGGTAAATGAAATAAGATCAACTACAGATTATTAGGCACGTCGTATTCTTAATTAAACACTACCAATTCAACATTTCAAGATCACGAGGCCGGAGCAAATTGCTAAGCCATTGCTGAAATATTAACATACGTTCAATAATTCAGTGACTTTGTAGCTCAGTTTCGTGGCAAGGAAAGTTAATAAAGGATTATAAACAAAAAGGCAAACGCTTCACAAAGGCGACAGGTGGAGCAAATGGTTTAGTCATACTTCGGCTGAGAAACAGGAGCCGTTTATAAGTAGCATCGCTGCGTAAAGTAGAGGCAGAAGAATCAAATGTCCAGGTACTTCTCTGAGCTTATAACCACTGAATTCTTATTTGACAAACTATTTTTATTTTTCTGTTTTATTTTTTAAGCTTCTTATATATAGAATTGAATTTATTTACAGTCGTACACTTATATCCTCAAAGAATAATTTAACAACATTTACTTGGCAGACTTTGAGGTAAAGAGGAAAATCGATACATTTATTCCTCTACAATTGTTTTTTTGTTTTCCTGTTTAAATAAGTCACAATATCCACCACTGTCCTCTTTACATGGAAAACAATTTTATTAAAATATTGAATTGTTTGAATATTTCAGTACACACAAGGAAAAGCGAATGGTCACCAAAATGCATTTGCACTTTCTGTTGCTTGTTGCGTTGGGAATTTATCAGTGTAAACCTTTGCTAATTTATAATTTCAAACCGAGGCTTAGTTGCGAAATTTGCTCTTGAGACGTGAACAAGGGTAACCTGCAGTGTGTTAGCTTTATTGATAGTTGGGATGGAAAAAGCTCATATGTCATATGCTTTATTCCGTCCTCACTTATGTTCTTCCTAAAACTTGTGATAAACTAATAGCGGCATAGAATGCAAGAATTTTTTTCGTGTGCAGTAATTTTTATGCAAATTTTCTGTCATAATATCAGCACTGGCCTGACTGCACGCAAGCCCAGAACAGACTCGAAGTTTTTTGGGAGAGGTGAGTACATCAATGGGCAAAAAAACGCGTATACGTATTTTGTTATGTTTGTGTACAATAACGTAAAAACAGAACAAACGGAGATGAATTAATTACTATAATATGTTTTTCACATGCTCTTACTCAGAATTAAGATAATACACAAATCTGGCCGAGCAATACTTCCAATGGAAGTTAAGATTGCAAGCACGACTGAAAAAGGGAATTCTTGTACTTTTGATTTTCTTTTTCTAGCCGTTTAAAATTTAACCCTGTCAACTCACTCTTCTTCATACTCAGTACAAAGTGTTCCCCCGGCCACACAACAGGTGATAGATTTGTCTCGTGCAGGATAATTATCTTGTAAAGTAGTGCTTACTAAAAATGACACCCCTCCTTGAGAACCAGTCTAAGCAACGCCTCTGAAAATGAGAAATACGACGGATGCATTTCTTAATTATTGAACACAAATATTGGATACAATAAATCAGTCTCGATCCCCTCTGCAAGAAAACCATTACCACGGTCTAGCTCTTTTAAGACATCTTACCCAACAGTTCCTATTATAATGTATTCACAATTTTGATCTATCTGATACCTGTCCTACGGAGACCAAACAGGAATTAATCAGTTAGAACATTACCCAAGGCAACCACAACCTTTTCCCCTTTCCTTGCGCAAAAACGATCAGCGCAAAAGACTGAGTTTTCTATAGGATACTGATGATGGTACAACCCTGAGTTTGCCCGGAAAGTAAGGAAAAGAAAAATTAGTTTACAACGTTTTACTGGCTTAATGTCAAAATTTTAAGACAAAAATAGGTTTTTTTTTTCGAAGGAGGGCATCTTGAGACATCTATTGATTGGCCGGCGATGTCTTCAAATCTTCGGAAGTCGTAAATTTAGTAACAGAATCTTAGTCATGTCTCAAGATGGTAGACCGTCATAAATAATAGCCATCTATTAGTTTTGAAAGAAATGGAAATCAAGCATCAGAATGTTCAGAAAAAATTCTGAGCTCCAGACGAGATTCGAATGTACAGTTAAATTGGACGGAAGCACTCAGTAAAAAAGCCGTTTTTCTGAAATCCATTACGCTGACAAGCCTAACGTTTGACTTTTTGGGGGTCTAAATTATCTTTTCTGACATTCACTTGGCCCTTTGACCGACTCTTTATGCATTCTAACACTTTGCGAATGAAATATGCGTAAAATTGATTCCATCATTAGCTAGTATTAAGTTTAAATGTAGGTGTGGAAACTTTTGGCTATAAATGTCTTCAAACTTTTGGTCTTAAATCTTTTTATTCCGGTTTTCATAGATATTCTTACAGCTACAGGATTATGTTGCTTCAAGTAGCCTTGTTCATTACACATTGTAAGTATCTTATTGTCGTTGTTCATGTTGTTTTTGTTGTTAAGTAAAGTATTATCGAAACGACGCGGCCCTCAAATGAAACTGCGCTTCAGGCGTAGCTAGGCGTTTTGGACAAGCGAGGTAACACGTAAATGAAGTCCTTCCTCTTTCCTCACAGGCGGATTCTTCTCGTGTTAGCGTGCCCAATTTGCCCATTTTCAACAGACCATAAAGCGGTCCACAGTCTTTCTCTTGGCTTTTCCCTTCCCTTTAATAAGCATCCACCGAATAAGCGCGGCATCCTTTCTGCTTCACTGTAACTCTAATTGATTAAGTCATTAAGGACATGTTTAAAGATCAAACGAGAACACGGCAGATATTGTTATTTTCTTTTATTGACTAACCTTTTTTGCATTGTAATCGTTTTCTAAAGAATCAAAGAAAAAGGAAGTTACTACAGTAGTAATCAGCTATTCCCAAATAGTACAGTTTTAGAAGCACCGAAAGAACAAATTGAAAAATTCAATGCTCTTGAGAACAAATTTAGGAATAACCATCATTTTGTTCTGTTTCAGTTGCTGTTTCCAGAGCAGAAAGTAAGTTGGACACATTGTAATGTTTTTGACTTTCTAGTTAACATATTCTGTACACTAAACAATTCACTTCTTAAAGGCGTAACAAACGCAAGTTACGTAACAAACGTTGCGTGGACCTCTGCATTCAAACAGTTTTTCCTAAACACAAGTGGTTACTAAGTAATTATAAAAATAAGATGAATACTAAAGTATGACGACTATTTGATTCATTATAATTTGGGCGATAATCAACAGTTTGGGCGAGCATCGTCGGCAATTCTCAGAATCTGGAAAATTATTTGGGAGGTCCATAAAGGGTCCAACGAGAACTGGGACTGGCCTGCGGGTTTTTGCCCTGGGAAAATGGGATTTCAGACACTAGGCCAAGGGCAGGGGAGCTGAGGGAAGCCACAATTGTACTATAGATATATCAAGAGGAGGTTTAACTAATTCCCAAAGTTAATGATTCGTCAGCAAAACATTAAGAAAATCAGTGAAGGGTTTGTACGTTAAGTACAGAAACTTTCATTTCTTTTAAAATTGTCACTTTTCACAAGAAGGACTTGTCACTTCTCGGGTATCATGCCTGATTTTCTTTCTGGTTACACTTAGAAAGAAATATTTACATTCTTTCGATCTCTGACAAGAAAATAGGATGGACAGGCCGTTCACTTTGCCTTTGAACTTTGTCGGCTATAAAATCCTCTTAAAAGCAGTGAAGCATGTCAGAGCAAACTTTATTCACCACACAAACAAGCTGCGAAATCGTTACACGAACAAAAGAAGATACCTCTCCTCTCCTTTCCACCTACCCAATTTTCTTGCGAATTCCAAAAAAAAAAAATACAAGAATTCTGAAAACTGGGATTTTTGCTACTCTGTTTACTTTTTTTATTATTAGAAAGCAAACTTTGAAGCAAATGGGGTCACCACCTTATCATGGTGGGGCAGTTTGCGTGTCTCCATGATCCATAGAGCTACTTCGGCTGGAGTCTTGTACTCCTGGTAAGGCCACTCATGCCGAAATGGTCGAAGGGTAGAGACCAGCCAAAGAGTGACCCCCTGGTCCTCCAGGTTGGGCTAACGACCCTACCACATAAAAACACTAACTGTTACAGAAACAAGAAGCGTTGATAATGAGACAACACTAACTGAAAGTGTTGGCCAGAGAGCGTAGAGGCCTTTTGCGCCTACTGGCGCGATGAGACGTGATGATGATGGTGATAAAACTTTGAAGCAAAGGAAGGACGTACACCATCCCAACGCTTGGCCAGTACCTCACGCATGCGCGCAGCCATATCACCCAGGCAGTGGCAGCCATGGACAGCTGTTTCACTTTTATCAGGCCTTATCAGCTTATCAGACCCCTGTACGGTCAAAGCTGTGTTCAGAGGCCCTCTACTGCCGAGGCGAGTGCAAAGCACGTCTTTAAACGCCAGCTCCGCCATCACATATAGGAGCTGTTGGCTGGAAACCAAACGACGTTTCTCCCACGACATGCGTTGGGAAAGCTGATCAGTATTTCGGTCGATCTGTGTAAGCAACTTCATTCTCAGACCATTTTCCTTGTAAACTGGGATAAGCCGGAACAAACCTGACGCGGGTAAGGGTTCTGCTGTGTGCAGTTCTCTGCATTGTGGGACTCGTTACCTTATAGCAGTCCTAGCACGCCCGACTGCTCAGGTGTCCCGTTGGGCGGGGAGCGTTTCCGGGGGCTCAGGTTCAATTCCTGGGCGATTTTGGCGTACTGGTGTACCCTCCTTCAGGCGTTGCTCGGCAGAGCCAATGCACTCCGGCTCTGTTAAGTATCGTGATGTCGTCTGGCCATTGCACTGACCATTGCACTACCGGGTCCGTGGCTGGGGGCGCCTGAAAAAAAAACAACCTGAGGATGAGGTTGGGTTTATAAGAATAAATATAAAAATATAAATGATTTGTGTAGAAGAAGAAGACATAGACATTTACAGTTTTATTAACGAAACTGTAAGGCATGTCCTTTTGCATATGCTTGGTATCTCTCAAAACTTCAAAACAAATCCAGACTCTCCATCCTTTTAAAAACCCGAACTAAAATTGGCAAATGATACCAATCTTCTAATTCTAGTTACATTGTATTGCAGATAGAAGCTGCGAACAAGACTGGTCATATTATAACAGGAGCTGTTATTTCCGTGATGTGAAGGGTAAAACATTTACTGATGCCCAGGCCAACTGTGAATCGAAACAAGCCAATCTTGTAACTGTCAATGATATTTATGAGCAGGAATTTCTGAAGACTTTCATGGGAAAAGCTGGGGGTTGGAATGGTCTCAACAGTCAAAACAGCACAAACAGCACAAACAGCACAAACAGCACAAACAGCACATTTGAGTGGGTCAGTGGAGAGACGGTTAACTTTACGTATTGGAGTGAAGATCAGCCAGACATTGAAGATCACTGTGTTCATATGTATAGAGTAAAAAACTTCAAGTGGCGAACAAAGGCATGTTCATCTAAACACAAGTCGATTTGCGAAAAAGGTTTGTTGCGCCTTTTCTCTTATTATAGGACAATCAAAGAATCTGCATCTTCTACGAGATGCAGATGCTTCTTATTCTCGAGAAAACCTCACTGACATTGACGAGACAGAAATAGATATTACTCATCTCCAAATTTCATCTCAATATTTGTGTTTATCAGGGCCATTAGATAGGTGACTACCCACCTTTCTCCTCAGTATACACAGCCGGCCCAAGTTCAATTTAGTATACAATGGGCGATTATAAAAATAAAAACGTGTGTGAGGTGTTGTGTAACAAGGTCGTTCAACGGAAGGATTAGCCGTATTTATACTAGAGGACGTCTAAGACGTCTTAAACGACTTAGACGTTTAGTATAAATACGGGAAATAAGGCAGACGCATTAAACGTCAAACGAATAAAACGTCTGAAGTTAGGTGCGTCTGATCGACGCACTTAACAGATGAATTAGTCGTCTCAGACGTTTAAGACGTCTAGTATGAAAACGGGACGCACTTAACAGTCCGACGTTTAACGCGTCTGGACGTCTAAGACGTCTTCTAATATGAATACGGCTATTGTATGGGCTTGCAAACATACCGTATTTATTCGAATAAGCGCCCAACCTCGAATTAGCGCCCATCCTAAACGCCGAAAAAGTTCATAAGCGTCCAGCCTCGAATAAGCGCCCACCCCCTCCTCCTCCCAATCAAACTCAAATAGGCGCTCACCCCCACCCCACCCACTTGAGCGAATAAATTCTAATAAGAGACTTCCCCTAGCCTGCGTAGCAAGCGTTTCCGTTTAGTTTCGCAGCAAAAACGACCCAGGAACGGGATTTTCCGTTTTGACCGCGCGTGGTCTCTGACTCTTGTTCCTCGTTCTTTGCTCCTAAACCACACAGAAACGCTTGCTATGCAGGCTAGCAGCACTTTCTCCTCAGTTATTTAAAGACCCTGAGTGTTGGTCAGGCCGGGGTTTGAACCTACGGCCTCCCGCTCAGCAGACCGGCGTTTATCCCATTGAGCTAACCGGCAGAGTTTCAATCCACGGTAAATCGTTGAGATCCGCAGAAATGGGGCTAAAATGTAAATAAAAGACGAGGAATGCAACATGGAAAGACGGTACGTTAACTTTTAATTAGTGTTTTTTTTTTTTTTAATTAAATCAGTCGCGATCCCATAAAAACCTTTGTAATCTTTGAACCGATCGTTGTAACACAACACTTCACATATGTTTGCTAGCCTATACAATCCTTCCGTTGAACGACCTTTATAAATTGAGCTTGGGCCGCCTGTGCCATATACTGATGATAATCACGGCTCTTATCGAAGTGTCATACATTCCTGTGACTCCACAAATAGCACCGCGCAAGGAATGTCCATCACCTAGCAAAAGCAACGATGATCTAATCTGGAGACCCATTTCCATATTAGATGAAACTTTATAAGATTTTATCAAGAGTAACTTAAACGTTACCCTGCACTTAAAACCTAGGTCTCTTTCCATTAAAATTAACTTTTCTTATGTGAGAAACTCCTTTAAAGTTGAACTTAAATTGCTCAACTCGCTCTTACATTACCACGCGAACAGCCTGAGCTCTGAGTACGTTGTAAAGAGTGTACTGTAGTGAGCCTTGAAACTGTTCTTAGAGTTTTCCTTGCCAAGTGAATCGCCTACTATATATAATGCCGGCTCCCAAAGGGTATTTAGTCTTTATTTCTTGTAGTTAGGAGACCACCTTAAAGAGGCTATGTATTTTCTATCTTTGTAAAAAGCTAAAACTTGTCTTGCCATCAATCGAACTCCCAAAAAAATGATCTTGTCTTAGCATACAAGACTATATTTAGGCATTGAAACTGTACCACTCACTAAAAGTGGGTCGACTACTATTGTAACACTAACTACTAATGTAATAAATATCAACCACTAATGTAATACATATATCTTATTGGAGTTTATGCATCAGTCAATTCCAACTGCCGAGTCGAGTAGTGCCATGAGCATTTTAATGTGCGATTTTTTGTTTCAATTAACGTACAGTAAAAACCCGCGTGTAAGAACCTAGAAAATTAAGAACCTCCTGGCAGAAATTTGCTACTTTAATACCCCAAAATATAAGAACCTGTTTAGCCAAAAAAATTCCAACAGGTTCTTATATGCGGGGTTAAACTATTTTATTTATAATATTTTACCAAAAAGGTTGTCCTTAAAGATCAAAAAATTGCACAGTGAACATATGTTGTGGTTCAATGTTCAAATCAGTTTGATTTTTTGAAACTGCTTTATTTTTTTGAAACTGGTTTTATTTTTTTGAAACTGGTTTTTTCTTGATTATAAGCATTTTTTCTATATAATACTGTAACAGTTTATAATGAAGAACAAACCATATATTATACTACAGTATTTTCTACTCCGTAAAAATTAAGAACCTAATTAAGAACCTACTTAGCCTAAAATGCCAGTAAGTACCCCAAAATATAAGAACCTGTTTTGCCAAACTCTAAAAAAGTAGGTTCTTACACGCGGGTTTTTACTGTATTCCTTTGTAAGAGGGTCTCGATGGGGTGGTGGCATTTACGGTTATCGGCTAAAATTTTGGCTCTTTTACGGCTATCGGTTATTTTTTTTCAGTTACAGTGTACGGTTAACTATAAAGTTAAGAATAAATTTCTTTTTTTCAAAGAGTTAAGTATTAATAAACCTGTATTTTTTTGTATCTTTATAAAAGCAAAATAAATGTTTTAGGATCATCTCGGGATGAAATAAGTTATTCTTCTGAAAATTTTAATCATAGATCATGCTTTTTGAGTATTCCACTTCTAATATCATTTTACGCATAGAAATGTTAACTATGAAAAAGTTTGTCATCTTTTGCATCTTGGCGTGATTTCCTTTTCTTCAGGGGCTACTGATTCGTTCTTCGCGTCGCTTGGTATTTGCTACCTTCTTCTCTTTTTACTATCACGATAGGGTCTTTACCCCACTGAAGAAAAGATTGTACAACATGAACTAAAAAAGAACAAGCATACAGATTGAGACTCGAACATTTCTGTGACTCTCACATTTACAAGTGTAGAAGCCAAGCTGAGAAGTACGCGGTTTTTGAAGATCTTTGCCGCAGTTTTCTCATTCTCTTAAAATGACATGAACTCTTTGTTTAAAATAGAAACAAAAGGTTAAGCTATTGCCAGTCAACTAAAATTTTTGTGAGCCATGAAAAGGACCATTCCTAATAAAAGACATAACAGTTTTTTTGAATAGAATCCTCGTGAAAAGCAAAACTAGCAGAAACGGAAACGTAAAGAGTCAAAGTAGCCGCGAAATAAGAAACACAACCGTTCTAAGTGAGTTTAGCACGTTCCTCAAAGTTATTAAATCTAAGGAGCAAAATTCTTTTACGGTTAACTCTTTTTACCCTATTTACGGCTAACGGTTAAAATATTTCAATTTTTACGGCCATCGACTAAACTTTGGGCCGTTTTACGCCTATCGGTTAACCCCATTGAGACCCTCTTGTAATAGTGCTATTCTAATTGAGACATCACGCCGTGACGACACCAGTTTATGGCTTTAGTATTGTTATAAAATTATTGACATTTTAAAAATTAATAGTGCGCTGTAAAGTTAACTGCTATGAATAGTTTCATAAATGTGAAAGGATGTTCTTCAAATAATATCAAGAGAAACTTGATTCAATAACCAAAAAATCGTTGATTCACGTCGATAGCTCCCGAGTTTCGTTCAGTAATTCTGGCTTGATAACCAATGAAGAAATGCATGCATACAATCGAGAACAAGCCTTTACAAACCTCTTCAGTCTTTTCCCATCCTTGACAAATGAGCCAATCTGCTTGTTTTTCAAGTAAAATCCTCTGTGTAGTTATATTCTGATAGGAAACCGCGTGCGTGTCAAAAGCTCGGGGTTGGCAAATGCCCGGCGCCCGGGCAGCGTAAAATTTGCAAATGCCCCACCCCTGGGACTGATAAGGCGGGCAAATGCCCCGCAGTAGCCTGGGGGGCTGGGCGCAGCTGGAATTGACTGATGCATTAGTATGTAGTGTCGTGGGATATTTTTACGAGTCACGCCGTATTTTGGCGAGCCCGTAGGGCGAGTCAAAATACAAGATACGAGTAAAAATATCCCACGATACTAAACGCTAAACCAACCAGTGAGAGATTTGTTATTCAACTCGGGATGTTTTAAAACATAACTCAGTAAATACGTAAAACGAGAATGCGTGACTGATTAACGTGACTCCTTTGCAAGGCCAGTTCTAGCGCGCTTTATGCAACGTTGTTAGCCACGTTGTTACTGATTGGTCTAAAATAAAAACTTGTTAAACGAGTTTTAATACTCAGCAAATCAAATTTTGGCGGATTTCTCGGGTTTTCTTCGGCGCTTCGGAGTACCTTTTCAAATATAAAGGATTAAATTAACTGCAAAAACCGTGGACGAAGATCCTGCTAGTTGTAAACGTTGGATCTCTAGAAAAGAGATCAAAACAGCCAAAATATAAAGAACAAGAACGAGAAGTCCGAAGACTACAGCAAAGCTGATTTAAAACAACGTGCATTGTTTTTTTATAACAATATTTCGGCTGGCCATACCAGCCTTCTTCAGGTTTACAGATGTTACTGAACTTATGTAGCAATCACAATATTATATAGATGGAGAATGTCGCAATCAAAGGGAGAGGCGGAAATGACGTACAACATAAAAACTGGAAAGGAAAAATACTAAGGATATGGATTACAATAATTCATCACGGCGGTTTAGGCCATGAGGTTCAAGAGTCATGGCCTTATCTATCAAATGCGACTCCCTGGCCTTACGAACTGAGTCACGTGAAGAATGAATTTTCTCTAGTGGGATTAACTGCATGTCAGTATGAGAATGGTTAGAGTGAGAGAGAAAGTGTTCAGAAACACTAGTGGGTTTAGATTTAATGTTAGTTTTGTCGACTGCACGTCTGTGTTCGTTAAATCTGTCCTTGAGACGTCGCTTAGTTTCACCTATATATTGTAAATTACAACGGTTACATTGAACCATGTAGATAACATTTTTAGTGTTACAAGTAATGTGTGAAGTGATGGAGCGTGTTTCACCTGTAGCGTAAAAGGTATAACTTGTTAGGCCGTTAGTGATGCATGGACAAGTGGCACAATTCTGTCCACAGCGGAAGGAGCCCGGCGGAAAATGATTGGTGGAGATAACGGGTAGTTGTGCTTTAACTAAAAGGTCACGAAGATTAGAGCTACGTCTGTAAGCAACAAAAGGCGGTTGCTTAAAGACGTCTTTGCAACGGTTAGAGGAGTGTAAGATGTTAAAATGTTTGCGCAGGATATTAGAAATGCGTGGAAGTGCTGGGTTATGTGACAACAAATGGTACGACATCATTAGAAGCTTTGGGTTTAGTCTGTAACGCGTTAGTACGGGAAATATTAGCAGCGCGTAGGAACTGTTTTTCTAGGAAATTATTATTATAACCACGAGCAAGGAGATATGTTTTAAGTTCATTAATGCGATGTTTAAACTTAGCGTCTGTAGAGCAGATGCGGCGGAGGCGGAGGGGCTAAGCTGAACGGAATGGCTTTCTTAGTGTGGTGAGGATGGCATGATGAGCTGAGAAGGTGCTGATGTTTATCCGTGGGTTTAGTAAATAGATCAGTTTCAATTATACCGTTATGTAGAGACACCATGACGTCGAGAAAAGGAACGTTAGTGAGTGAGTAAGAGCTAGTGAACTTAATAGTGGGATGAATGTTACTGAGATAATAGATGAATATTTTCAAACGATCTGAACCTTCTGTCCAGATCATGAAAATATCATCGATATATCTCCACCATGTGTGAGGCTGCCAAGGGGCGTTAGTGAGAGCGTTGGTTTCGAACATACCAAGAAAAAGGTTAGCAAAAGAAGGAGCCATTTTTGTACCCATAGCAGTACCATGGATTTGAAGATAATGCTGTTGGTTAAATGTGAAATTATTCATGATGAGAATCATGCGTAGGAGATCACATAGTGTCTCTGTGGGGATGTGTTTGTTAGGGCGGGTATCAAGAAAATGACGGCATGCATCAATTCCTTGATTGTGTGGAATGTTGGTGTAGAGCGATGACACATCAAGAGTTACAAGAATAGCGTTATTAGGTAGGTTACCGAGGTTAGAAAGTTTATTAAGGAAGTCAGTAGTGTCTTTAATGTGTGAATCCAAGGTAGAAACGAGAGGGTTAATGTAGTAGTCAACAAATTGTGAGATGCGTTCAGTAGGGTGGCTGTTAGATGAAACTATGGGGCGTCCAGGATTTCCCGTTTTATGTATTTTAGGTAGTATGTAAAAACGTAATGGTTTCACGTTTGTTTGTACTAGGTACTTTTTAGTCTTTTCGTCAATGTAACCGTCGTTAAACATACGTTCAATGTAGACCGTAACACGCTGTTGAATAGTATCAGTAATGTCCCCGTCTAGTTGTCTGTAGAATTTAGCGTCATTTAACTGTCGGTTGCATTCGTCTATGTACCACGATTTGTCCATAACAACCGTTCCCGAGCCTTTGTCAGCTGGTTTGATTATTATGTCTTGTCACTTCTTGAGGTTGCGTAATGCTTGTGGTTCATCTTTTGTCAAGTTGTCGGTGATGTGATCACGATTAACGGTAAGGATGTCATGTTTAATGGCGTCTACGTACGTGTTAAGTGCAGGGTCTCGATCAGTAGGAGACGTCCATGAGCTTTTGTTGTGAAATGGGTTGTGTTCGTTAGATTGAGTGCTGTTATTGTGATCATGAAAACATTCTTTTAAACGCATGCGTCGCGTGAAGTCGTTAATATCAGCAGATAATTCTGCCAAATTAATACGTTTAGGTTAAAAGGTTAAGCCGCGAGCGAGGACCAATAATTCGTCATTAGAAAGTGGGGTTTGGGACAAATTAATAACAGAGGTGGTGTCGAGATTAGTGGTTTTATGGGTTTTACGAGGTTTGCGTTTACGGCGAATGCGTGTTTTGCCAGCTAGCGTAGGTGCGGTGGGTGAGGGTGTAGGTGTCTTATTGTTAGGGCGTGATGTTTGATTAGTGAGGTGATTTTTGTGAGCACGTCTGTCGGCGAGTAGCGATTCGAGAGAAAAGGCCATGGAATCAATCCTAGTAGAATAAAACGAAAAAGTTTCTGCGTTACAATGTTCTTCTAAACGGTTCTTGTAAAATGTCAGTTCCTTTCGTAAATGATCTCCTACGCATGATTCTCACCATGAATAATTTCACATTTAACCAACAGCATTATCTTCAAATCCATGGTACTGCTATGGGTACTAAAATGGCTCCTTCTTTTGCTAACCTTTTTCTTGGTATGTTCGAAACCAACGCTCTCACTAACGCCCCTTGGCAGCCTCACACATGGTGGAGATATATCGATGATATTTTCATGATCTGGACAGAAGGTTCAGATCGTTTGAAAATATTCGTCGATTATCTCAATAACATTCATCCCACTATTAAGTTCACTAGCTCT